GGTCCGTAGAGCATCCGGCACAACGTGAGGCAATAATCCTGGTACAAAGCGTCCAAATGCGTACGCCGGCGTCGAAATGCGTCGCCCACTGGTACACTGTGAACTACTGCGAGGCCACAGGACCTTCGCCTACAATGACATTCTCTTCAATCACGAATCGCGCGCGGGGTGAGAACTTCATGGCCCGAATCAAGATTGCGCTCCAGAGCAAGTTGTTCTTGGGCAATTTGCAGGCGTTGGATTTCGCCGGCGTCCTAATCTAATCACAACATCGTGATCCACTTTGTGCTCTGGGACTGGGGTTTCGCCGGCGAGTAGGTGGAACCCTAATCGATCATAACATCGTGACCCTCTTTGCCTCATTCATCTACTTGTCGGTTTCTTCAGTGTCGGCTTCGTCCACACCTTCACAAACCACTCTTCCCTTGACGACGACAAAGAAGAAGAAGAAGAGATCGCATGTTGTTGCCCAGTTCCACCTCCGATTTGCTTCCCTAAATCTGATGAACCATACCGTATAATCGATCACAACATCTTCTATCCCAAATCTAAAATCCAATCGCAGGTTTCAGATTTATTCATTCGTCTCTGGACACGGCCTCTAAGTTGTTGCATTTTTGGATTTTGAGGAGTTGGGTTTCTGTCTACAAATATTTGTGTGTAATATGTGTGTATATATATATATACCACAGAGAACTGACCAAAGACGAGAGGTGGCGCTGCCGCTGCTGTGCCTTCCCAGGCTCTCGAGTCCTATTTGGTCATTTCATAAATGCAGCTGTTTTAAAATAAAATGAAAATTGTGTATAAAAGTGTAATTTGGTCAATCTATAAATTTAATGTGTTATAGGGCACTTATTTGCCCGATTTTAAAAATTGGAGGGTGTTTTGTGCACACGAAGGGAGTTAACTGCACTTAACCCTTAATGAAATGAGAGGATGCAATTAATAGTGTTACAATGCTGTAAAATATTTTATTTAATTGTGCCATTAAGATCAAAATTATTGACCTATAGAATTTGAGTATTGATACACAAGTTTACTGATTTGGCCAACTATATGAATTTGCTTAAACTCACTTTTAAAGATATGTTTGACAACATTGAATAGACACTTTATATATATATATATATATTAGAGAGATTTTTCATCGATCTAGTAGCAGGGGAATCAATGAGCAAAGAGAGAGCAGCAGAAAGGGTCAATAATTTGGTGGGATACACAGAGAGAGTCGCGGGGCAAACGATGATTTTACCACGAAGATTCAGAAAAAACCGAGCTTGGATGGAACTGAACAAAATTTGGAAAACAAATCAAAAGGTCAAAGGATTCATTATTGAGAAAGCAAAAGGAGGGTATTCAGTAGCAATCGCAAGGTTCATTACCTTTCTACCATTCCGGACTCTTATAAGGAAAATGATAGCAAATGATAGATTCAACATTCAGAGCATTAAAGAAAAAAGGATGAATATTGTGGTCTTCTAACAACAAAAGAGAAAAAAGAAAACTGAAGGATGAGCCAAATAATATATAGTTCAAAGTTTTGACTTTTGAACAAAGGATAAAACTGATTATTGGATGAATTTCAGTTTAAGGGCAGAACTATATTATGTCGGCACAAAATTTGGACTACTAAATAGAATGCATTATAATTTTAAAACACATTAGTCCAGTAGCCAGTCCAACCGGTACTTCTTAAAATAATTGAGGGCATTTTTGATTTGTAACTCTAAAAACAGTTTTTAAGAATTCAGAAAGTAGCGTATGCATTTCTCCATAACAATAGGCATAGTTCATTGTAAGATTGTCATACAAAAATTGATAAATATATTTGATACAGTTTTGTAACTCGAGATTCACTGAGATCATACTCGACTTGCAATTACACAATCAAAGGCCTTACGATAAGTATCTAAAATGTTTATTTGTCATTGCAATAGGCTATTCCGTATTCTCAGATTCGTGATTCTGTACTTAATATCAGTTGTACAAGTTGTTTACAATTAAAAAAATAATTCTTAATGTCTTTTCTTAATTTCTCTCTTATTGTTGATCTTCAGGTTCTGGTATATGCCTAAGTACGCTGAAAATGATTGTCAACCCCCAGGAATCAAAGTTTGGTTTAGGGGTGCACAAAAGAACCGGAACCCTTTTTTTCGGTCCTCACGGTTCTGGTTCCAATCCTAGTTCTGAATTTTGAAACCATGGAGATACGGTTCCGATTCCAGCCCGTGGGAACCGGTAAGAATCGGAACCGTATATATATATATATATATATATATATATATATATATATATTATATGTATTATATATAAAAAAAAAACCTTTTTTTTTAGTTTTTTGCCCTAAATCTCTCACTCTCTTAGTCCTTGTCTGCTCTCAATCTCTCATCTAAACAGACGAAGTGATGAACCCTAAGCTAACCCTCGCCTCCTCTGAAGTTTAACCTCTCATCGCCCTCGCCTGAGTCGCCTCCTCTCATCTCCTCAGTCCTCATCGCCCTCACCTCCTCTCAAGTCTCATCTGAAGCTTCCTTGTCGATTCAGTCCTCATCGCCCTCGCTATCTCAGATTTCATCATTAATCGTCTCCGATCTCAGATTACTCGGTAAGTCCTTGATCGATCTGTCACTCCCATCTCAGATTTATAAGTCAAGTGAATCCTCCAAACTTCTCAGACTGTGACACGATCACACGGCTTCAGATTCCTTAGGTCTAAAGATGCCAAACAATCTGACTTCAACAAAACTAGAATCCCAAGAAAGCCTAGCAATCAACAATTCAACAAAACCCTCAATTTGTATTTCAAAGAAAAGCAACTTAGACAGAGAAAGTGAAAGATGTATTTGGTGTTCATGTGTCATGAGGACGAAAGGGTGATATCTAGGCAACTAGCACTAGGGTCGTGTCCGTACTGTGGAGGGATGATACATGCCATGGACGTTGAGAGTCAATGGAGGTTCTGTTTCCTGCCTCTGTATTTTAGGACCAAGAAAAAGTCTGCTAGGCGTTTGGTCGTCAAATACTAAGACTGTTTGTAAATCGAAACGACGAAGACAGTGGTTCTCTCCTCATCAGAACAATTGGAGACCAATCTCAGATGGGTTAGCTAACTTAGCTTGATGATTAATGACTACTACTTTAATTTGTTTGCTCGCTTTTTATTTATTTATTTATTTTTATGTATATGTATATATATATATGAACCATATGATACATAGGTATGAATATATTGATGATGAAATACTTTTTTGGTAAAATATTACTTTGGTGTATCTTGAAGTTTAGTATTCTTTTTTAATTCTATCACTTTTTTTTTTTTTTTTTCGGCCTGAGAAATACGATTTATAGAAATAAGGGGTATTAAATTCAGAAATGATTACTAGTATTGGACTGTGTTGGAGTCTGTCTAAATCACATTGATTTAGTTTTGAATTCTGTAGATGGCTAACTATGGTAGTGTAATTGCAGAGAAGTTATTTTCTTTTGCTTCTACCATGGATGAACATAATTCTAAAACCTTTATACTTTATCCTTAAAGGAAAAAAACCAAACAGTTAATGGTTCTCATGTACGGTTCGGTTCCATACTATACGGTTCCAGTTCCAGTTTCGTTTTCAAGGAACCATCATGACGGTTCCAGTTCCAGTTCCGACCGGAACCGTGTGCACCCCTAGTTTGGTTAAGTAAAGATGGCAAGTAAGAAAGGTTTTAGGATTTTTTATTTATTTATTTTGGCAAGACCTAAATGAACCTTAATGAGCACTCAGTATTCCTATTAGCTTTGAAGCCACCTCCTTAATCGCGCCATATTCACTGCTGCTGTCACATAGAGCCAACCTTAATGAGCAAAAACCTTTCTTAAAGGATTATAAATTGAGCATGTTACATATGGCAAAGAGGCCATATCAAACACAGACATCAAATTATGTAATACACTTAATTTTGATTGCCCTGAATGCCACAAGATACCATTCATCATACAAATAGTCCAACACAATATTACTGGTGCTTTAATTAACAATACTAATTTCAGAACAAGTGAGAATATTTATAAAATTATATTCTTCAATAAAAGAGAGAAGCAACTAGGGAAAAAAAAAAAAAAGAAATAGCGAGAAGCCAGCTGCAATGGGTATGCAAAACTCTGTGACGTCCTATAGGAACTTCTTGCAAGAGGAACAAAAGCTCATGCCTTAGCTGAGGTGGCTTTCATAAAAAATGCAACTAAAAAAGAACAATATTAACAACATTAGCAATAGGTTTAAATTAATCTAACATGAAATAAATTAGCCAAAATTTGTTTACAAAGAGAAGACAATATATATATATATATATATATTATTTCTTAATACATTTGATGAGTACACTTAAGTGCCATAAAGAGTGACCTCCAATACTAAACACAACACTACAATGGAAAACAATATAAGCAATATAAACAATGTACGCAATCCATTTAATCAATGTGGACCTGAGCAACCAACATTAGTTTACTAACAGAGGAACTATATTGCCTTTTTTTTTTTTTTTTTTAATGTGGTAATCTTGATGATTAGATTTTAAGTGTTAAAAAAGTGTCATTCAAATATTGAACATCTAGCTAATGCAAAAACAAAGTCAATGAGTGAAAGTACAGCTAATTCAGAAAAATGAAGGAAATATTTACCTAATAGGTTTGAAGCTTCCTCCTCAATTGTTGTTAACACATAGAACCAATTTGAATTGTTATAAAGAGTGTTATCCAAGTATTGAAAATCTAGATAGTATAAAAACAAAATCGGAGTGAAAGTGTAACTAACTCAAAAAAGGTTACCAATAAGCTTTGATGCAGCCGCCCTCAATCTGGCCATATTCATAGCTATTGTTACATAGGGCCAATCTTAGATGTTGTTCAAGAACTTGAAATAGGCATATTCCCATGAACGTTTGAGCAGTAAAGTGCCAAAGACACCACCAAATCTAACACCAAAACCTAGCCCTATGCTGACATCAAATTCTCAATTTATAAATCCATCTTCATCTCCTTCAATGATGTTTTCTTTACCACGAGAAGAATCAGGAGTTGTTTCATCTCTTGGGCACTTATTTGGAAGTGGAAGTCCGCAAAGTTCATAATTCTCTGCGTATACAGAGGCATCAAAGCTTTGCAGTTGAGTGCCTAACGGAATTTTCTTAGACAATATATTATTCAACAAATCCAACACAGTGAGAAAATTTAAACGAGTGATGCTTGTTGGAATCTCACCAGAAAGCTGGTTTCTAGACAAATCGAAAGATTTTAACATTTTCAACTCACCAATCTGTGGAATAACATGTCCAATCAAAGAATTTCTTGATAGGTTCAAGGAAATTAATTCTTCAAAACTCAATATTTCTTGAGGAATTTTTCCAGTTAAATTATTGCTAGAAAGATCAATGATTTTTAACAGTGCTAGATTAATTTTGTACTCAAACTCTTGACTTTTCCATAGCATCAATGCATAGTCTCCATATACATCAACGTTTATAACATCATCCATTTCATAACCGAAATAAATGCGAAACTCTGAACTATTCCTTCAAATAAAGGCGATAAAATTGTTAAAACATGGTGGTATAATACCAGATATATTGTTTTGTGAGAGGTCTAAGATCCGAATAGACTGAATATGGCATATATTTAGAGGTTTATGCTCGTGGAACTTATTCAATCGTAGACTAAGAACAATCAAACTACTAACGTGTGTACCCATCCACGATGGAATTATTCCAGATAATTTATTCTCTCCGACATCCATGGTTACCAAGTTTCTGTAGTTCTGCAAAGATGAAGGCAATTCCCCAACTAAAATATTGTTTCGTAAGTGCAAAATTTGCATCTGAGTTAGGAAATCAATAGAGTGAGGAATTCTCCCATAAAAACTATTACTGGACAAATCAAGAGTGACTAATCCTTTCATATGCATCCAATAGTCAGGAAGCTTTCCTGATAACTAGTTATTTAAGAGGTCGATATACCTGATGTAGTCATTGATAGCCACATATAAGAATGAATTGACCCAAAAAAATTATTTCTGGACAAACTCAAAAATGTAATGTTGGGAAGAAATACTGGTAATGGGCTTGCAAAATGATTATAGTTTGTTCTATTTTGAGAATAAAATTAGATTAGAAAGAACTATGCAAAGAACCCTATAGTAGAACGCGCCTTGATAGGGAGGGGGGCAGTTTGGATGAATCAAACATTGATAGGGAGAGCTAAAAGTATGCACATACATTTGGTTCTACCCAAGCAGTATTCGATAGAAGCAGTCAATACAATAGCCTACTGAATTAATCGTGGACTATCAATGCCTTTGGAGCATCGGATGATGAAGGAGGTAAAATTTTTTGGCTATATTGCATATGCGCATATTAGTGTGCTAGGAGAAATCTTGACCCCAAGTCACTAAAATTCATCTTCATTGGTTATGTTGAAGATGTTTTTGGTTATTGACTTTAGGATGACCAAAACAAGAAAATCATCAGGAGTAGAGACATGGTTTTCAATAAGAATGTGATGTACAGAGATATGGATGGAACATAGTTAACTAGTCTTGTACAAACTAAGCTTGAGTTTATTGAGTTGGATGATGTTACTAATAGTTTTGTTGTGGAGCAAACAGTTGAGGGTTCATAGTCAGAACTCACAGAGCATAGTGCACTGCATAATCCAACTCCTATAATTGCACTTAGAAGGTCCACGCGTCCCATGTACCAAATCAGTGTTATATGGATTATATGTTATTCATAGATGGTGGTGAGCCTGAATGCTACAATAAGGCATGCCATGTTGAAGATGCTAGCAAATGATAGCTTGCAATGGAAGATGAGATAAAGACCCTAATCTCCAACAAGACATGAGAACTAGCCAAGATACCCATGGGGAAGAAAATCAATCACAATAAATGGGTGTACTTGGTCAAAGAAGAACATGATGGTTTAAAGAGATACAAGGCAAGATTAGTGGTCAGAGGATTTCAGCAGAAGCAAAAGATTGACCACATATACAGTTTTTCTCTAATTATGAAATTGAGTACCATTCTCCCAGTTCTTAGCATTGTTGCAGCAAAGGGGTTGCACCTTAAGTAGTTGGATGTCAAAATTGTTTTCCTCCGTGGTGACCTAGAGGAGAAGATTTATATGCAACAACTAGAGGGTTTTTTTAGTCAGAGGAAAAGAGAAACTTGTGTGCAAGTTAAAGAAAACCTTGTATAGTTTAAAGCAAGCCCTGAGGCAATGGTACATGAAGTTTGATGGGTTTATATAGAGACATGGTTACAACAAGTGCAACGCTAACTATTGATGTTATTTTAAGAGGTTTAACTCAAGTTTATTTATCCTTCTACTTTATGTTGATAACATGTTAGTGGCAAATTCTAATTTTGAAGAAATTAGCAAATTGAAGAACCAATTTTCTAGTGAATTCGATATGAAAGATCTTGGTACAACGAAGTAGATTATTGGGATGAGAATTAGTAGAGATAAGCAGAAAGTACTTAGCAGTTGTCTCAGGTTGAGTACGGTGAACGGATTCTGAAGAGGTTGAACATAAATAATGCTAAGGTGGGTGACTACAGCCATAGCTAGTTACTTTTGATTATCTCAAGATTAGTTTTTGAAGGCAAATAATTAGAGAAACTTTATGGCTAACATTATATGCCTCATCCATTGGAAGTTTAATGTATGCCATGGTGTGCACGAGACCAAATTTTGCATGTGCAGTGGGAATAATAAGTAGGTTCATGAAGGATCTAGGAAATCTACACTAGGAAACAGTAAAGTGGATATTAAGATATCTATAGGGTACCAAGGATAGATACCATAGTTTCAAAAGGGATGAGGTAAAGCTACATGGGTATATAAATGCAAATTTTGTTAATGAGGTGTATCATAGACGGAGTACTACTAGTATGTCTTCACGATGGGTACAATTGCAGCTAATTGGGTTTCACAAATAAAGAGGATTGTAGCTTTATCTACTATAAAGGCAGAGTATGTGGCGATGACAGAGGCTTGCAAGGAGATAATTTGGTTGCAGGGATTGTTGACAGAGTTGAGATTGTAACAAGTGAAGAATGTTTTGCACAGTGATAGTTAGAGAACAATACATTTGGCAAAGAATTTAACATTTCATTCAATAACCAAACATTTAGAACTTCAGTATCACTTCATCAGATCTTTGTTGGAAGATAAGGTGTTGACACTTAAGAAAAATACTTGGCATCGAGAATTTGGCTGATATGTTGACCAAAGCAGTGACCTTGTAGAAACTAAAACTGTGTGCAGCTTCAGATAGTCTTATAGCTTAAAGATAGAGATAAGCACACCGAGATGCAATGGACACGTATGGGAAGATAATGGAATGCATTTATAAGTGTTCTAGCCTCATGTGGGAGATTATTGTGGTTTGTGGAGTCCAATCACATGTTGGGATTACGTGAAAAACTTGGAACAATCAAATTTGCTGATTTGGGTGTCTACTTTGGCTACCGGCATATCACGATGAGTTTCACTTTCAAGGAATTGATTTTGTGGGTGGCATTGCAAATTTTATTTTGGTTACTGCCAAAACACAACCGGTTCTGCTTTTAGGGAACCGATTCCACTTGGGCAGTGAGTTCTTGAACATTGGTTTATGCAAAGCGCAATTGGTTGCGTTTTGCTGGATTTGATTGTGCTTCCCTTGGAAGTTGCAGAAATTAGTTTCCAAGTTGGTTTTGACTCTACAAAAAGGAAACTTATGGGCAAGTTGGGTTCTATTGTTTGGGACTATTTATATCAATCATAATAAGAATTTAGGGTTTGAGAGGGTGATTTATGTGAGTGAATGATTGAATTGATTTGTGGCTACATAAGAGATTGAGAGGAAATTATAAGTTGTAATCCTTCATCTTTTTAATGAAATTTGTTCGGTGCGTTCTAATGGATGTAGTCTTAAGTTTTGGGTGAACCACGTATATATTGTGTTCTTGTTATTGTGATTTTTTTTTTTTTTTTTATCACTTGTAGTTATTCCTCGAACATTGTTGTTTTGCTTTTCTGCTCAAAACAACTGGTATCAGAACATTCGTTTGTTTCCCCAACTGTTAAAGTATTTTATGGGGACAAATCTTAAAAGGGTGAATCTGTGGTTCTCTTGATGGTTGAATAACTAAGTTAATGACTTAGAGGGCTATAGAAAGGATTATTTTTGCCATTACTCCCATTCAAAGCAAGTCACTAAAATCATCCTATAATTATATAGCGTTGCCCACATGAATCATATTTTGTCATTCAGCTATTATCTATAATCTATTATCTATATACTATATTCTCATCCATGTTCAAGAGGACTTATTTTGAAAATTTTTTTCTCTTTCCAAAAATATTAGGGAGGGGGTTAAACACGAGCACACCTGTTCAGGGAGCTGAATTCACTACCAATTAGGCCAAAATCGTATGATTCAATTTAGAGGTTCTTACATCTTTTGGTACACTCCTCCGCACCTTTAAAAAAAGATAAAAAAAAATCCAAAGACACTTACAAAAATTGTTGGACATTTTTATAAAATGGTAAGGCTGTGTACAACTAAACTTTCTCAAATTTCACGATAATAAGAAACTTGTGCACGGATTATATAGATATGTATCTAACTTATATAGATGATTAGGCCCTGCAAAAAAAAAAAAAAAAAATGTAGTAGTTTGACCAAGATACACTTTTGCTCTGATACCACTTTGTTGGCTTTTACTTTGATACCAATTTATTGGAAATAAGTGGCTTAGATATACACACAATACTATAATATTTAGAAGAGAATAAAATAAAGGAAAATATTTTTATTTTACTTCTACTATTTCATCTTATTCTTCTACTCACCTAAAATAGGTATAGTACATGAGTTTATATAGGCTCTAGTACATACGTAACCAATTACATTTCAATGCCTGATTACACCCACTATTTCCACTAACATGATAATTAGTAGATATAACTCCCCTTAATATAACCATTTAGTCTTAACTCTCATGACTCTTGATTTTACATAACCTTCACCATCGATCACACTAATTCTCATATACTAATTCTCATTAAAATAATTTATTACCCACTAATATGCTAAATGCCCACATACACTATGTAGGCAAATACTTGAAATGACTAATTAAATACTAAAATTAAGTGTATTTTTCAATACCCCTTTTAAACTTGATTTTGTAACTTGAAAATAAACTTGTTATTAATTTTGGGGGCTTGATCAAAAGTTCGATGGTTGATCTTCATTTCCATCGTCTTCAATAGCTTCAATCTTCTTAGCCATTTCCATTGATGTGTAGGGCCTGTGAAACTTCTTCAAATGCTAGAATAATGTCCTCTTATGATCAACCTTTATCTTTTTCACATAGGTGCACCATCCGTTTTCGCTCTTCTTGAATTCTTGAAACTTCTTATGTTCTTTTTCTTTAGAGTCCAAAAATAACTCCATATTCACCCAACCTGTGTCAATTACAAAATTCTCCAAACCATCTTGTAAAAAATAATTTGAAAATTTCTTCTCGCCTTTAACTTCAATCTCATAATTAATTGGAACAATTTTCTTCAAAAGAAATTCATCATTCTTCACAAAATAAACATTATTTGATTAATATGAAGAAATAATAATTTTATCAAATAAGTCAAATATAACTTCTTTCAAGGTGGAATTTGTAACCATACCTGAAGATGTTAACTCAACAATTTCATCAACTTTTGTCTCTTCTTTAGCACTTTCTTCTTCTTTAATTTCTCTTTCCATTTCATTCTCCTCCACTTTTTCAACCTTTTCTTCAATGCATTTCCTTACCTTTTCCTCATTCACCATTTCAAGTTCTCCTTCAACTTTTGAATCTTTAATTTCTTCAACTTCATTTGTGTTGTACGCCTCTTTATTATCCACAAATTTGTCCTCTAAACTTTCATAATCTGCCTTCGTAAACTCATCATCCTCAAAGCATTGTACCCAATACTCCATGGGTAGTGATTCACCTCTATAATTGGAAACGATGGTCTCGAGCATCTTCTAAACACAACTTGGAGTTTTGGATTCTGCAAAATATTCCCAAATTTCTTGATGTATTGCCTTTTGCAGCACTACCAATGCCTTTTTCTTCTTTCTTCACTCGAATCTTGTTGGACATGCCATTCTTTGGTTCTTTTTCAACAACATCCCACAAATCACATGCTTTGAGGTATAAAGTCATGATGATTCTCATTCTCTCGTAATTAGAGAACATCATCTTCTCACTAAAAAAATACATTTTACCCACTTCATCATCATCATTATCAAGGAAAAACATGTTTTTCTCAAAATGTTGAACCTTCTAGGATCAACTTCGTCAGTCTGATACTACTTTGTTGGCTTTTGCTCTGATATCACTTTGTTGGAAATAAGTGGTTTAGATACACCTACAACACTGTAATATTTGGAAGAGAATAAAATGGAGGAAAATATTTTTATTTCACTTCTACTATTTCATCTTATTCTTTTACTCACCTAAAATAGGTATAGTACATAACTTTATATAGACTCTAATACATATGTAACCAATTATATTTCAATGCCTAATTACACCCACTATTCCCACTAACATGATATTTAGTAGGTATAACTCCCACTAATATAACCATATAGTCTCAACTCTCGTGACTCTTGATTTTACATAACCTTCACCATCACATTAACTCTCATATACTAATTCTTATTAAGATAATTTACCACCCACTAATATGCTAAATGCTCACATACACTATGTAGAGAAATACTTGAAATGACTAATTAAATACTAAAATCAAGTTTATTTTTTAACACATTTCGTATTTAAATTTAAAAACTGGTCCGATATAGATCTTTGTGAGTAATTCATCAAATGTTTGGATTGTGACCAAGAGTTCATCTTTGACCTACTCGTAAGAGTATCCGTATAAATTAATGATCAAGTTGCCATTTAATTTTGGCCTACATAGTTAAAAATATTATAATATGGTTTATATTAATACAAAAAAATTGATGCAAATGATCAAATATATGCCGAAGATTGTGATTCAGAGAACAATTCACGGGTGGCCAAAAAAAAACTATATCCACGTACTGCATGAAAGCATTTAATTTCTTCTTCCCCTTTTTCAAAGTTGCTTGGGTGAGATAGACACTAAAAGTAATGTAGTTGAGATCATTGGAAGTAATTAAGGAGAATTGAAATCTTCTGTCTATTTCAATTCATTCCATTTGTACTTTTGTATGACTGTTGTGTGCAAATCTTCACCTAAAAGTAAATTGATGATGCTAATTTGTTGACAGAGCTGAAAAGTTCTCTGTCTCTTTGCCAATTAAGAAGTGAAACTTTGTCAACTACATAGTTATCTTTTGCGATAGAAGCATTTTAAAATGGCACTTATCTACATTTTTCAACTATTGGATTATTATATAATAGTTGCAGTAAGATTCTAGTGCATATATAAACTTGTTTTCAGCACTCGGTGTAGAGTACTGTAATGTGAACAATATACTATGACCTCTGAACTCAAGAACGAAAATGGCTTACAAGTTAGTTGAGAGTTGGAGTGGAATAATTAATATTACACTGACCTTAACCATCCTTTTCATCAAGGCGAGTTGAAAGTTTCATTCATTGCCCACCAGGGCCACCACATCACCACACACACACAGATTTGCCATCCAACTACATGCATTTATTGTCTTTCCTACTCTTCTTCCTATAAATACCATTAACCATTGATCATATAGATGCAGCAAACGAGCATTGCTATTCAGTCTATATACTCTTAGTTCCATTTTGAGTGAAATATGGGGAAGTTTATTGAGAATGTTGGAGTGCTTATTGTAATTTCGTTGATGGTGATGTTGGTATTGGGGATAGCAGAAGCACGAAAAATTGAGAAAGAGACCATTGCCGGAGGTGATTCCGGGAAAGATGGAGGAGGTTATGGTGGTGGTGGAGGTGCAGGTGGTGGTGTAGGAGAAGGTGGTGGTGGTAAAGGTGGCGGTGTTGGTGGAGGTGGTGGCACTGGGGGAGGATATGGCGGTGGTGCTGGAGGTGGAAAAGGTGGTGGAGGTGGCGAGGGAAGTGGTGGGGGAATTGGAGGAGGGTCTGGTGGTGGTGGTGGGGGAGAATACGGAGGTGGCGCCGGAGGGGGAAAAGGTGGAGGAGGTGGCGAGGGAAGTGGTGGTGGAATTGGAGGAGGGTCTGGTGGTGGTGGTGGTGGTGGGGGAGAATACGGCGGTGGCACTGGAGGTGGAAAAGGTGGGGAAGGTGGCAAGGGAGGTGGAGGCTCTGGGGGTGGATACAGCGGTGGGGCTGGAGGTGGGAAAGGTGGTGGGGGCGGTGAGGGAACTGGAGGAGGGTCTAGTGGTGGTGCTGGGGGAGGATACGGTGGAGGTGGAAAAGGTGGTGGAGGTGGCAAGGGAGGTGGTGGTGGAACTGGAGGAGGGTCTGGTGGTGGTGCTGGGGAAGGATACGGTGGAGGTGGAAAAGGTGGTGGAGGTGGCAAGGGAGGTGGTGGTGGAACTGGAGGAGGGTCTGGTGTTGGTGCTGGTGGAGGATACGGTGGTGGCCGTGGAGGTGAAAAGGGCGGTGGAGGTGGCAAGGGAGGTGGTGGGGGAACTGGAGGAGGGTCTGGTGGTGGTGTTGGAGGAGGATATGGTGGTGGCTCTGGAAGTGGAAAAGGTGGTGGAGGTGGCAAGGGAGGTGGTGGAGGATATGGTGGAGGGGATGGTGGTGGATTTTAATTCAAAATCTTAGTCTTATAAGAGGGTTAAGCATAAAAATAGCTAAGAACGTGAATAACAAGTTTTAATGTTTATGTTGCACGTTGTACTAAATAGTTTAATGAAATGGTGAATAAAAATGTTTTAAATAAGCCTTTTGTAATGGTATGAATGATATGTAATCGTGTTTTGTCATTTTAATACGTAGTAATTTTTAAAAAAATTATTTATATTTGCTCATTATAGAAACCGATACACATAATTTAATGAAAAAAAAAAATGATATATATGTCGGTTTTTGTAACAAAAGATCAAGTCATGTTCTTAAAAGCAATTAATTACTGTATTTAGTTTCAAAAGGGCAATACTTGGGTCCAACTCAGGTTGAATGAGGTGAAGACACAACCGAAGCATTTAATAATTTTTCTGGATCCATATCCATGTGATTTTTCATCAAATCAAGAAATACTATAAAAGGATCTCATACATTTGGACGATTGAATAATAGTCGAATATACTATTATTTGGCTTTGAACTCCAATAAACACTTTCTCCTTTGGCCTTGAATACTAATGAATCTTTAACTCTATGACCCAATGTAGGTTTGTGGAATTCTAACTTTCTCTCTCACTCTCTGTATTCTGGATAGTGTACGGTACGATGTTTTATATCGCTATCTCGTAGAATGAGAGAATCGATTAAAAAGTATAGGGATAGAGATGAGGATCCAAGAGGGCTTCCTTATCCTAACTCCAATTGGATAGACTCATAATTTTATCCTATTCAATTAATTACAATAAGCACCACAAATAGTATTGTAATTGCACATAGGATTTAGAAATTATGACAAGGCCCTGTGTACTAAATAATTACATATAAGCCCCTCCACTACCAAATATCCATAAGTAGCCCTAGGAAAATATATACTGTCCCACCTAAGGCTTACTTATATTTTATATTCCTTGAGTAACCAACTTAATCTTTATGATCACTGAATTAAATTCTTTTAGAAAATGATTTTTTAAAATAAATATTTTTCTAAATAAATAATAGAAAAATAATTTAGTAAACATTTTACTAAAATGCCATGACCAGGTTCTAGTGATCAAACTTATTAAATTGTATCAAGGGAATATTCTAACTCTTATAAAGAGTGTGGATTCCATGTTGAGCATTTATGTTCCCAAAGCTCCAACATTAGCCACCTAAGATACCGTGGTATTGACCTTAAAAAGATCTCACACATTGGTAAGTCAAAGTGACTAGTACTGAAACTTGAGTTCACTAAATCCCCCAGGATTTAGAGCCTATAAATTTAGTAGATAAGAAACACACAAAAATAATGACAGTACATTGTATGATGTGATCTTATGGTGATCCAGTTCAATGTACTCCAACCACACTAACACATTACCTTAGAGTTAACTACTCCAATGGTCAAGACAAACCATCCTATCTTATAGAGGCTAAGTGTGTTACAGTCTTACAAATAAAAGTGCCAACTTTTATCACTGACTGCTAACAATGCCAAGCTGCAAGAAAACAGTGAGCCCAAATCTCCTACGTGTAAATCTCATTTACACACTTAAGTCACCTATAATGCAACTTGAGGACTATAATGCATCTCATACAAATATATGTAAAGCCCAATGCATGAATATCATATTTAATAAAATATCAAATAAATAATAAATAGTTGGATTGTAGGGCATATGATCCCAATAATCTTCCACTTGCACTTAAAACCAATTACCATTACATCTAACATCCATCCCTTCAACATGAGACTTAAAAACCCTAGTAGGTTGAGTCTTAGTGAAAGGATCTGTAAGGTTATTTACAGATGCAATCTTAGTGGTAACAATGTCCCCACGCTAAATTATATCTCTAATGAGATGATATTTGTGCTCAATGTGCATTCCCTTCTTGTGGTTCTTTAGTTCCTTAGACTGAGCAATTGCCCCACTATTATCACAACATAAGATAATAGGAGATCCTGCCAGTGGTACCATTCCAAGCTCTAAGAGGAAATTCTTGAGCCATACAGCCTCTTTAGCTGCCTCTGAAGTTGCTACGTACTCGGCCTCCATTATGGAGTTTGCAATACAAGATTGCTTCACACTCTTCCAACTAATGGCTCCTTTACCAAATGTAAACGCATATCCTGAGGAAGATTTCCTGTTATCCCTATCTGACTGGATGTCAGAATCTGTGTAACCCAGTGGAAGTAAATCATCACCCCCGTAGATTAACATATAAACTCTGGTCCTCCTCAAATATTTAAGGATTTACTTCACCACTATCTAATGTTCTTGTCCAGTTGGACTGATATCTGCTGACCATGTCGACTACAAAACAGATATCTGGTCTAGGATAAAACATAGCATACTTGAGGCTTCCTACTGCTGAAGCATAAGGAAATGCCTTCATGCGCTCTTCCTCCTCTGGTATATTAGGACACTATTGTTTAGAAAGAGCAATTCCACGCCTGAAAGGTAATAAACCCCTCTTGGAATTATGCATACCAAACTTGACCAGTATCTTATTAATATAAGCAGTCTGAGATAAGCCCAACATTCTATTTTTACGATCTCGTAAAAGCTTAATCCCTAAAATGTACCTGGCTTCTCCCAAGTCCTTCATATCAAATTGATTGGATAACCAAATTTTTACTGTTGATAACATTCCTACATCATTACCAATAAGTAGTATTTCATCAACATATAAAAGTAAAAACAGCACCACATTTCCTTCATTCTTCTTATATACACAAGATTCTTCTAGATTCTGATCAAATCCAAAAAGATTTGACTGCTACATCAAACCAAATGTTCCAACTACGAGACGCTTGCTTAAGTCCATAAATAGACCTATGTAACTTGCATACCATATGCTTTTAGCCCTTTGTTATGAACCCATTTGGTTGTATCATATATATGTCTTCCTCAAGATGACAATTCAAAAAGGCCATCTTGACATCCATTTGCCAAATCTCGTAATCGAGATGAGCTGCAATGGATAAGAGAATACGAATAGACTTAAGCATGACTACTGGCAAAAAAGTCTCCTCATAATCGATACCCTTTTTTTGAGTAAACCCTTTCGCAACAAGCCTTTGTTTGAAGGTTTCAACCTTCCCATCTTATCCTCTTTTTTGCTTCTAGACCCACTAACAATGTATAGGTTTAATGTTTGTAGGTGGTTCTACCAGCTCCCAAACCTGATTAGAGTATATAGACTCCATCTCAGCCTTCATAGCATCTAGCCAAAGTCCCGAGTCATAATCATTCATAGCCTCTTCATAACTGGAGGGATCTTGCTCTTCTAGGATCATCTCGTAAGACTCTCCCAAGGGCGTTAACTTATCAGGTGGCCTAATAACCCTCCCACTATGTCGAGGTTCTGGTATAGCAAGAGGTTCTGGATTTATGGTATCCCGTGTCTCATTGGGCACAACTATTATGTCCACTCCTTGATTGATTGGTGTATCTATCAATTCTTCTAAAACAACTCTGCTTCGAGAATGGTGATTCATTATATAATTTTCCTCGAGAAAAACAACATTTGTGCTAATGAATACTTTTTATTCCTTAGGATCATAAAATGAATAACCCTTTGTACCATTTAGATAGCCCATAAAAAGACAAACATCTGATCTTGGTCCCATCTTCTTAAGATTTTCTTTCCGTACATGTGTTGGACACCCCCATCTACGTAAATGTTGTAAACTAGACTTACACCCGATCCATAATTACTTAGAAGTGTTAGGATCTACTTTAGATAGAGCTAAGTTCAGAATATAAATTGCCGTTTCCAGAGCATATCCCCAAAAGAATACTGGTAGACTTGAATAACTGAGCATCGATTTTACCATGTCAAGTAAGGTTCTATTCTTTTTTTCAGCAACACCATTTTCTTGTGGTGTGCCTGCTGGAGATGTTTGGGATATAATCTCATTTTCTCATAAATGATCTTCAAATACATTAGAGAGGTATTCCCCTCCTCGATCTAATCGAAGAGTTTTTAGGCATTTACGTATCTGCCTTTCACTTTCTGCCTAAAACTTTTTGAATTTATCAAAAGCCTTAGACTTGCGATGCATAAGGTAAACATAGCCATACCTAGAGTAGTCATCTGTGAAAGTGATGAAATACTCATATCCTGATAAGCGCTAAATATTGCATATTTAAGCGCCCTTAATTGCACTAGTTAAGCCTATTATTTGATCTGTTTATATAGATTAACTACATTTTTAGGTTTTTGTGTTTTTACAGTTCTTATTGCTAAAAAGGAATAAGAATAAAGTTTTAAAGGGTTTTGAAGTACAAGTCATACCGGGCCTACATTCAAGTGATCATCAAAGAGAAATGATATGAAGAGGTGATGGATGCAACCGGAGCTAAAGAGAGAATTTTCTGCCAGAGTAGCATGCCTGGCATTCGGACGCAAGAATTGGCATCCGGACGCCATCTTCCAGGAGCTCGTGTCCGAACGTACGCTGTGACGTCCGGACACCACATCATCAGGGCCTCGTGTCCGAATGCAAGTCTTGGCATCCGGACACGAGACAATGGGCCCCTATTTTATTTAAGTCCAATTTTGTTCTATCTTGAGTGGGAATTCGAATTTTAAAAGAGGATTTTATATTTTGAACTTACGTAAGGAAAAAAGAAGGGGAAAGGCTAAAAGAGAAGAGTCTCAGTTTTACTTTTGGTTTTGAAAAAGATACAGAGAGGGGGAGGATTTTTAGGGTTCTTGGAGGTTAAGCTTGCAACAATGGTGAGAGAGGGGATTCTCTTCTCTTCTTCAATCCTGGAAGTTGCTGTCATATTTATGAGAAGCTAAATCCCTTTTCTAGGGAGTTGATGTAACCTAGACCAAGTAAACATGTTTTGATTTGTATTTCAATTTGGGGATTCTTATTGTATATATCCAGTTTCATAAGTATTTACATTGACTTGATGTACTTTACATTGAATTGATGTATGTGTTTATCATGTGAATATATATTTGTGTTAATT